CTCACCATTGTAGCACAGACCCTCGACACTCAACACAAATCGCAAAGAATGTGAAGAACGCATGAAACTTAACTGTACGACAGCAACGTAGCTAAACAATTCGACAGCTACCCAAAACCAAATCACGTAGTCACACAATTTACGTCCCACCATACACCATTTCGTAAGTTTCGACAAGATATTAGGGTGAAATTTCCCCCACCCCTAACTTTTGACGTCACGTTCGTGACCACGTATGAACCATTAAAATTATTTCATAAGTTTATTTTTTTACAATTTATATAAATCGTCCACCCTTTGCTTTTTATATGTATGTACTAAATTACGCATTTTGCTCACCACCCCTCCGCACCGAAAGGTTCCCCTATAACACCCTTCGCCCCTCCACCATGGATTTCCCCCTCGCCGGAGCGGCGCAACTGCCGATTTAAACGACTACCTTAAGTTGTACCGTATACTAGATTTCAGCCAATTATATTGTTTAGGAAGACATACCAGAAGGCAACAGGCATGGCAAATTTTCTCCGAATAGTTGAAAAAGTGTACTAGTAATCAATGAAAAAGTCTCGTCACAAAATAAAATATTATGAAAGTGCTAACACTCGCATGACGCATGAATTACTGAATTTTCTTTTACGCTAAATTTGTTTTCCACAAGTGTTATAAAATGTAATTTTCCTATTATTCAAAAAAGGACGTTCTTTTTGACTGAACAATACAATAAATATTTTCACTGATCTTTTTATTTGATCTCTTTAAATGTTGGGTACGCTGACCGTATATTCATCCAATGGAGACTTTTGAAAGTAAATGAAATCGATCACTGGAGGTCAACAATTGGCAAGTTCCGTTCCATGTTCTGTGGCATCATTCCCAAAACCAAGAACAACTTGCATTTTACCTTCAGATGAATTTAATTTTTTTTCTCTAACATAGACGAATTAATTCTGCTTGTGACAAAACATAAAATGAGACAAATTTAAATTGTGAAAAATTATCTCTAATTTCATTTGTATTTTTTTAAATGTGTGTAATATGCAATAGTTTGCAAATATGCAAAATAAAATTTGACAAGACGGCTCTAAATTAGCTGATTCATAATGAAATTTTTATCATTTCCAAAGTAACAATTAGCAGTAAAAACATTCAGTTGCATACAAATCCGTGTTGTAGTCGTGAATTTCACACAATAGTACCAGGTCTTTTTATAAATTGAGGAGAATACTAGGCAACCATAGGATAGGAAAAAAAAAAAGTCTTCAAATATATTAAATATTTAGAGATGGTGTTACCATTTTTGCACTTCATTTACAATCCACCTTTCACAATTTGGAAAATATCAATGTAATATATTTTTACAAAAGTATGATCAAGTTCATTGACAGTCAAAGAAATATACATATATATATAAATTTATATAGTTCACAACAGATAAAGAAATTAAATCACTTTTCAAATTTAGTCAAAAATACAATGAAATCATGCAAATAAAGTTAAGTTACGTTAAGAAAGGAATAAGTGTGATCTTCTTACTGCAGTATACAATATAAAGTATTGTATATACACCAGGATTTACTCTTCAACACTTTGTAAAATTTATCACCTGAAAAGAACCTTCTCATGTTGCAAAATCATATTGAAATATAGTTTATTTATAGACAGTTCATTACTTATTAAAACTGTAAATTATGAATAAAGTATTCCATATCATGCAATATGAGACACCTTACAGTGAATACATTGTATTATTATGCTATCCAATATTATATAAAAATTATCATTATCAACAATATGGTTGGAAACAAAATAATAACAATTATATCTAGGAAACAGTCATCTTGCGTTCAATTTGCTTCTAAAATTGCCCTGTTTAATTCCACCAAATTCCTAAAACAAAAGGAAAACATTATTTATTAATGTTTTGTAATAATTTCCAAAATTACACAGTTTTACATCAATATGAATACAAGGAAATTCAACATTCAGTATGAATTATCTTAAAAATAAATAAAACTAATGAAATAGATCAAAACCCAAATATTAGTTGCTTAGAAATATAACGTAAATGACAACATTTGTGAACAGTTTTCAATTCTCAAGGGATTCACATGATCATCTAAAGTTTTTGTGTATTTAATTAATTAGATTTTGAAATACATTTCATCCATAATATAAATATATATAAAACTTTTTAATGCAAGATGGGGTGCAAGCAGAACTCCAAAAAAAGAGTCGACCAGTCACTGAATATTTGTTATTTACTTGTGTTATAAAATAGCAACTTTTTGATAGATTGATGAGGACTTTGTTAAAATATTGAATTGTGATGTTACACAAGAGTATTTTATTTGAAGTTCTTAAGCAGTGTGGATGCTACTTTTTGAAAAACCATTTTTTTATTTTGTATTTGAAATTTTACTTTTGATTCAGTAAGTCAAAAAATATTACTAACATTTCTTCGGCCTGATTTTTAGACTTTTAAAATGCTAAAAAGGAATAGCTGGATGTAATACTGAATAGGGTGTGGAGTTTTAAACAAATCTTATGAAATGAAATGACAAAACGACATTAAAAATTTACCTTTGTAAACGAAAACTGTAATACATAAAAAAAATGAAACAGCACTCTCAAATAACATGAAACTTATTGTATCTTCATAACGCAACACATCTCTGAACCCTTCTTGGGTACTGAGTACTTGGCATGGAGTAATCCTCCATTTTTTTGTTTTGTCAAGTCTCGTCACATTGGACTGTCAGTCAATGTCTTTTATCTCTTTGGCCAGGGTTTCGAAACTGGCCAGGAGTTTCTAGATGGTCACCCAAACAGGAACCTGCGATATCTCAAATTCACTTAACCTCCGTGACTTGCAAAGTGCAAAGGTAAGGAATTCTGTATGCGACGCCAGCCCCAGACACATATAATATATTGTAAACTAATTTACACTATTCAAAAACTACAGAAGGATAGGACAGAATTCCTGAAAGAAACAACAATCTATAAGTATCAGGAAGAATTCAGCCAAAAAGCATGAAAACATATCACTAAATTAACAATGGTACAACATACTTACAAAATTTGGTTGATTTTTCTTGACACACTAAGGAGTTCTGTTTTTTCGGAAATTCTATTCGATGTTTTTGTATGCACTCCAGGTATGGAGAAGTATTGCACAGATCCCTGATCATACGTTCAAATTTCGCCCCCCACCCCCTATGAGAAAAAGGTTACCTTCGTCTACACAGATTTCACAGTGTACATTGCCTACACATTGTTTTCATGTAGTGGTAGACTATGGAACTTTACACGTATGCACACAAAAATGGTAATGATCACTCAGACCGGTCCTCTTAAGTTATTCAACAACTGAACATATTTTTAATTCATTTTTTAAAATTAAAATCAAAAAACATTTAAAAACTGTGCATGATGGATTGTAGGGAGAAGTGTCCTCAGTACATGTTTTCTTAAATTCTGATATGATCTTTATCATAAAGCAAAAACAAGTTGAATTATGAATACAGGTGTAAATGAGCATTTTTGATAAAAATGAAAATAAAATATTAGCTTACACATAACAAGCCCGCGTAATGATGCAAATCAGCTAAAGATTTTGGTTATCCAACAGAGTACCCTTCCTGAAGGAATCAACTTACTGCCATGAGAACATGGAGGACATTAATTTGAATATCTATATTCCCCACTAACTTCTAGAAAATGTGCATAAATAGCAAAGCTACATTTATGACCAAAATCAAAACACGAACCATCTCAGTAGTTGCTCAAAAGATCAGGGTAACTAGATGAAAAACCTGATCAAGATGGGGGTCATTGGCCCAGAAGCTAAGGTGCAATAATTGTTGCAGACATATTTAGTCTTTTAGAAATGTATATTCCAAATGTTAATTAAATAGCATTGCTAAAATCACGATTATTTTCCTTTTTGATACTTGGTATTGTCTCTAATAGTGTGGAAACAGGGAGCCGAAATGATTTTTCTTCGCACTTAAACTTGTGTATCGATTTTAATCGTTTAATGTCACCTGTCAAAGTGATGTAATATCCAGGTATTGTATGTTTTGTATGTATGTATTGTGAGCCTGGCAGGCGCGCATCTACCCTGGCAAGAGTCAGAAGTACCTTGGTGTGATGCTTGACAGCGACCTCCGCTGACACGCCCACGCCAAATACGTTAGTTAAAATATAACTGCCCGAACATGGTACTCTTACGTTACTGCGCGCACCCGATCTCCACCCCTCCCTCATACGTCGCTTATTCACAGCTTGCGTGCGCTCTAATTGGATACACGCTTGTGGAGGCGGCCTCCTCCACCCTTTGTCCGATTCGCTTGGGGGAATACAGTTCGACTCTCCCGCACCTGCCTCACCAAACAAATGCACTAGAAACACCGACGTGTTCGGAGACCTGAGTGTGAAAAAAAAAATCTTGCCTGAGCACCAAAGCCGCGGAAACGCGCTGGGGCCGAAGACGCCGCGCATCCCGCGCGACACCGGCCGAGAGGCGAACTGCGACATACATGTCATTATCTACGAAAAGGGCTTAAACACGTCGCGCACACCTTCCGCGTGCGGCCCCACGACACGCTTGCCATCTTGTGTGAGCAAGTGGATGTATTCTCGGCTGTCCGGGAGAAGCCGCGGAAGCTTACGTACACAAGTGGATGTAGCCGAACGTCGAGGGGAAGCCTCATCGTCGGCCGAGGAACGCGCGGGGATCGCCAAGTAACGCCTCCAAACGGGCCTGAGCGCCATGGACACTTCGAGTCGAATCCGTGCCGTGGCGAACAGCAGAAAAGTGTCGAAGTGAAAGCGAATGGGTTGAATGAACGGTTATGTATATAAGGGAAATGAAGTACGAATGTTATGTAAACTAAAAAATACCAAATATTCAAAAGTTGATGAACAATTAGTTCTAAGGAAAAACATAGTATTAAAATATATTTTACTTCAACTAGATAGACAAAAGGGTCTACCAAAAATGTTTACTATTAGATTTAAGTAGTTTTAGCTAGTATATTTAAGATAAATGCCTACTTCTAACTGCCAATTCTGCAAGACAGTAGTACAAAAGTAAATGTCCCTTTGAAAAATAAACTCTCGCCTCCACAGGGCTATTGTGAAAGCGAAAATATATGCGATACGTGCGTTATGCCCAGCCAAGTAAATAGAATGAGGAGCAGAGAGCACAAAAAAAGTATGTACGCGAGAAAGTAAAGAAAAACAAAAAAGCAGCAAAGTTGAATATTTGCCATTAAAAAAATCCTTGTGTGGGTTGAAGTATTTTACCTAAACATCAGCAATGTATTTTTGAATTACATTTTATGTGTTCAGACAGCAAAACAAAAACAGAATTCTTACCTAGAATCAACAGCGTCATGTAGATCTCTTCGATCTAGCAAAGATACAACTAATCGAAGAGTTGACCAGATTCCATCAGACATTGCACTCCAGGATTTTGGAGCTTCTTCAACCCCTCTCGCTTGAGCTTGTTGATTCAGAGCGGTCAAAAGATGTTCAGCAGCTTCTCTGAAACAATTATTTTTGTTTAGTACATAGCATGTCTTTTCTGCAGTTAACCGTATTTATATTATTTCCAGCATCTTGGATTCATTAACTGCTTAATGACTAAGTGGATGAGATAACTTAGTCATTACGAAAGCTGGGTGAACTTCAGAACAATTCTAAATTATCTGAGTTAAGCAAAAATCGTTAGACCCTGTCAGGATTTAAAATCTGACATTCATATTCTATTCAGTGCATTCTTCTTCCTTTGCGTATGCTTTGATATAATTATTTATACTCAAAAGTTATGGTAATTTACAGTTTTCTGAAAAATGTATTTTTGTACTGTATATTGAGATGTGACACACAACTTAAATAGTATCTGACGAAATAGACGGATATCAAATATTTATATTGCGTAACACGCAATAACAAAAGCCGAGAACGAGCAGAAATAAAACGTTTCAACCCTAAGTGTGTGTGTTTGGGTAGCGCCGCAATCTTTTATGGGAGAAAGCGTTTGAGCACAGCTCTCGTGAAGCTGGAGGGGAGGGCGGAGATAGACAACTAGCCAGGGAGACAAGTGTTTCCCAGATGATCGTATTCCAAGACGAGCGTACTTGACGTTTAGAGAGTTGGGTTTTCTCTAGGATAAATATGCACTCTACACGGGCGCAATGTGCGGATGAACTTAACTTAACGACCTGTGCGCTGGAAGGGATACGGTCTAATTTTCCAATTGCCAATATAACGTTAGGGTATGGCTCAGAAAAAGAACTTCGAAAATGATAGGAAAAATTGGGGGAGGCACAGCGCTGGAATGCACGGGAGAGGGAGAACCGAGGCCTAGCGATACCTGGAATTAGTGAGGAGGAAACAAAAGATAAATTTTTTGGCTCTGCTTGTGTATTGTGTTTTTTTTTTTGTTTTGTGTTTGGCTACAGCCGGGTTCGGTTGAGACCAACTTTCGGTTGATCGCCTGGTCTAATATTCTGACCTGAATATAGTTTGATTCTTTCTGGCATCGCATTGCATTATGAGTCAGACATTAGGCGGGCTGCATCATTCTAGTTTGAAACTTACGAGTTATAATGCTAATGCGACAATATGTGACTGGCCTGTCATTGACTCTTGTAATTCTGTGATTTAGCAATGAACTCTGATTACCTCGTGTAGAATGCCTGTTGGGCTCACGAAAGAACCTTTAAACATCACGAACTAAACAGGCGGCGTGGTCGATAGTAGAAGAAACGCGAAGTGTTGCCAGTGCCAGTGAATATGATGATAAATGGGTTCAAGAGGCGGAGAATACGGCATGGGCAATAGTGAGCTTGCGTAGAAGGGAGACGCGGGCGGCGCTCAAGCTGGGAGGGACGACCGCGGCGGAAGGCCCAGCGGTAACCTGACGGCCATGACAGGGCGATCGGCCGCCCTGTTCTCTTTCTCTCTCTTTCCATCTTCAAAGGGCTGCCGACGGATGCCAAGTGGTGAGGAAAACGGGAAAGTAGAAAACGCTAAACCCCTCAAAATTATTGTTTGATAACAGTAAAAGTGAAGTAAAACGAGTTGCATAAAGAGCAAATTAGTAGAATCAGAGTCATAGAAATAAGTGAACTTACAAAACAAACAAAAACATTTGTAGTAAAGTAGTATCAATGCGCATTGTGATTTTTGGTCATTTTTCAAACATTTTAATAGCATTACATCTATCATGTTACCAACTAAAAATTTAATTCCATTCCTATATTCCCGGTCTGAACCTTAAGTTGGTGTGTGTGTGTGTGTGAAGATAGTAAATGCACTATCCTTGGGATTACATTCACCAAAATTCTGGCGAAGTCCATGTTTTCCGCTTGGCGTCTAGCCGGGCAAGCTAGCGACCCACCGGTGACGGGCGGTCTAGCATCACAATACTTACGCAGGCATTGTTTTCTTTATTAGACTTACATTCAAGGTTCTCAAAATTGTATAGTAGGTTTACTTAAGATAAAAACAATTTTGCACATCAATCGTTTATCCTACTATTTGTCCAGCATTCCTTCAATTTTCAAACTAATTAGATCAGAAATTGATTTTGCCTTTCCTAACTAATAAATAAGCACTTTTCTTCAATTCATCCTAATTTCAGTTTAAATTCTTATACAAGTTTCATTTTGAGCACGGAAAACTTTTTGAAAATGCACACTCAACAAAACACAAACCATTGTCCTCAAATGACACATAGACGATTTGCGTTTTCGTTCAAAAAGCTTGGAGGACTTCGAAGTTGTATGAAGTTTACTGGTGTCTACATTGATCACATGTGTTTACCAAATTCTGTGTAAATTTGAAGATGCAACAAATACAATGTTCATGTTTAATTAATATAACTTTATTTGGCATTTAATACAATGTGTTTGTGCTTTCTACTCCTCTCATTGTCATTTTAATTTTTTTCAGGTTGTCGCGATAAGTTTTGCTGCACAACCAGCTGCTTGATATGCGTATTATTGTAATTGATGTTCTGCATGGCGTCTGTCAAATCCTCGAGATTCACTGCTCAGCTCTATTGCCACTGAAAGGCTAAACTCGAATCCGTACGTCTTACCATGTTTGAACAAAATTCCAGATGCGCGACATAGTAAACGGTATCGCGATGACAGTGTGAACACTGAAGTCAAGATCGTCCAAGATACGTCTAAAATCAGAATAATTTTCAGTTTCTGGCAGTGGATAGTCAGTTTGGGGGTTTCGGGCAGTAGGCAGTGATGGAGGGTTTACATTTCCCCTTAGGACAGTTTCCATTTTATTCATGTGAAATGTCTGTAGTCACATTAATATTAGGGCAAAGCCCTTTTTCTCCATCTTAACCTAATTTCAAGGGCATATTAACTTATAATACACAACTGTTTTAGTCATAAAACATTTACAACTTTATTGAAAATGGTTGTGTCAACTAGAGCACAGAAAAAAAAAGAGAGAAAGAGAAAAAAAACACAACAGGTGTGTTTGTAAAGGAGGATGTAACACCACTTAATATTTAGTATTATAGTGTATTGCATTTTCTACAATTTGCTTACCTATCACAATGCGAGTTATAGAACAGATTGCACCAATCCATAATAAATTAGAACACAAGGAAAAATAACTTACTTGTGTGCTCCAAGATTTAAACATGTGATACCCAAATTGTATCTGGCACGAATATAACCAGGAGCTAACTGAAGAGCATGATCATAAGCTTCCACGGCTTCTACGGATCTATCACCATTTGCTAGTGTAGCACCAAGTCTGTTCCACATTCTTGGATCCTTTCAGGAAGTTAAAAGAAATATATAATTAATAAATGCAATAATTGGTAGATCATATTAATGATAAAAGTATTTACTAACAGTCGCATACCAATTGGGGGAGGGTCAGTGACAGACCCTGAGTGAAGCTGTTTTGCTCATGGTATTGAAAGAGCGTTTCTGGTTCATTGTTTAGGACTTAGAACCTTTCTTAATTTTATGTGCTAGTTCCAACAAGACTAATGAGATATTTATAAAATAATTCAAAACCATACTTAATCGGTTCATGGACAGTTATGCACTCTCATACGGCCAGACCCGTCCTTAAACTCATTGTAACATAACTTTAGTATCTATTGATGTAAAGAACAAATGGCCATCTACCCCAGGAAAGGGCCAAAAGTACAACTGAAAATGTTTTAACACCAACTTGCACAAAATATATGTAATAAATTGTTAAATAATATAGCATATCTTTATATACACACACATATATATATTTATCTATTCCTCAATTGCTATTCTCCGGGTATCAGAAGGGCATAGGTATGCGACAGTTAACAAATAAAATGTAATACATAGTGATCATTATTAATACAAGGATTAATCACATTGTTGTGTCTGATATGGTTAAATTAAAAATTGATACAAATAATTTTACAATCAGTGATTTAAATTATAACAAAATAGCATAATTTTTTCAAAAATAACGTTTCAGCCAGAAGTTTTTCTTTCAATTTTTTCAATGGTTCAAATATTATTAAGTTTCATATTATTGGGTGTGCGTCTGCGTGAGTGTGTGTGTGTGTGTGTGTGTGTGTGTGTGTCTGCGTGAGTGAGTGTGAGTGTGTGTGTGTCTGCGTGAGTTAGTGTGTGTGTGTGTCTGCGTGAGTGTGTGTGTGTGTGTCTGCGTGAGTGTGTGTGTGTGTGTGTCTGCGTGAGTGTGTGTGTGAGTGTGTGTCTGCGTGAGTGTGTCTGTGTGTGCACACGCAGATGTGCAGAGTTTGTAGATTCCAGGACAATTTGAGAGCTCATATATCAATAAATAAAAATAATTTCAGAGATATGCTCGCACATGTGTGTGAACATGCATGCACATGTCCCCTGCCCTCACATAGGATGGATCATAAATCAGAAAAAGTATCAAATATATCATACATAATATTTCTCAGTTGTCAGATTAATAAAACTGCTTTCCATAGGTTTGTACACCACAAGATGGAAATGTGAACTTCACGAATCCAAAGATGAAAATGATTTTTCAGTTTTCATTAATTCATATGACATGAGTAAAGGGCATATATTGCAGCAGCGAGGAAAGCTGGCCTTGGTGGCCTATGACTCCACAAAGGGACTGTTTTAAGCCAGTGTAGCAAGAAGAGGACTGAACCATAGAATTTGGATCAAAAAATCTTATTACCCTTTTGGGTTTCACATGCCACAACTTCAAGAGTAATTGTTTATTACACCACTGATCGTAAGAAAGTTAAGTCCTTTTGCCCGATGAGAATTGATTAAGTTTCTGCTCAGAGTTCATAGTACAAACATGACACATTTTCAAATATACTGCTTAACACAATAATATTACCATACAGCAGATAATTTATAACTTCATTTTGCTGGGGGAGTTCCACAAAATATGTAAGTAGGGCTCTAATTTCAATGCAAATCTCCTCTGCCAGAAAAATTTTTTGTAACACAACATTAAAAACTTCATCTGATAGTTAAGATTTTCAGTTTTTGCTTTAGTTGCAAAGATGTTGGTGTCTGCAGGTCATTTAAACTTTATCCTTAAACATCTTTGACAACACACACAAAATTCATCTTTATTTCAGAGTAACAGAATTGGTATACTTGGTTGCTACTCGCAAATTTCACTGGTCTTTTAGCCTTTAATAAGCAAAGATAATTAAAACTTTGAATCTGTGCTTTAAAAGGAAGAAAAATGTGAAATGTCAATTGAGTTAAAATTATGATTCTAATTCCTGTATCCATGGAAATAAAATTTTTAACTGAAAAGCACATCTTGTTACGATCCTTTTCCCCCCGACATCCTAGAAAAACATAAAATTAGGGGCAGGCCAAACAGATAATCATTTGTTTCAATTTATGCCTGAATATGCACCAAATGAAGTGCCTTGTTTTAATTTAACTTACACAAAATCATATAGAATTGTTTAATGCTAAATATGCTGGCTTTCTTACAGTAAAAATGTTTTAAATGTTCGATTGCAATTGAACTCAAATTTAAAAGTGAAAAATTATATTTCAAAACAAATTATCAAATTTCAAAATACACAGAATACATTCAGATTTTTAAGCCAATTGTTTCTTTCTGATGTACATGTTTTTGTAACTTTTCCACACATTTTATAATATGGTAAGTTTCCACACATGGTAAAATCATACATTTTTCCATGTGTGTTAACATCCTGGTTCATCATTTCATGTTCATTTAATCAGAAATTTTTGTTTTATTTGATTGATGAATTTATTGTAATAATTGTCAATTACTATTGTAGGTCCCAAAAGAATGATAATGCTCTTACAAACGTTTATACAACCTCTTCATCAATTTTGCTCAAATATGAATGAATAAGAACATTGAGTAAAAAATGAAATGCACTTACAGAGTGATGTTCATCAGTATGCCTGGAGCAGACCAAGCAAAATAAGAAAACAAATATTAAAGAAAAGAGAAAAAAAAAGTTTGTAAGTGCTAAGTCAGGGTTGGATGTACATTTTTACCACTAAAATAGGACAAATTGATTTGAACATTCTTAGTATTTTATAAACCTGTAATAAATATTATCACACAAGCAACAACTATGATTGCAGAAAATATTTGAAGTAAATAAAAGATGCAAATAAAATAAAATCTTAAATAAATAATAAAAATATATTTGAATACAATGCACAATAAACCTACTAGATAATGAACAACAAAACATAGATAATAAAACTAGTGGTGCTAAAACAGCAGGTACTTTCTCACCTGTATTTTCACGCAAAATTAAGCAAAAGATACTCAAATATTTGAAAATTTGTTCATGACCTTTTTTTCAAAATCTATCTTTAAGGAAAAAAGCTCTATCTTTAATATCCTAGATATAGGAAGACAGAAAAAATTTTGAACTTTTTTCAATTTTGGAAAAATCAGATTTCAATATACATTACACTTCACCACTTTCTTAAATATCCTTTACTCTATTCAACAACAAAATTTAATAAAAAACAATGGGGCCATTTTTATAGAAAATTTGGTAAATATCTCAAGGGTTTCATGTAAATTACCCCCCAAATTAAAACATCAGTTTCAAACTCTGTGACATCACCCAGATTGATTGGGATATATCAATTGACGTTTTGACGTCATTCGATTTTTCGGCAACAAGGACCCACAAAACATGGCTTCTGACTACACGTGTTAAGAGGATTCCCCTCCCCTTAAAAATGGCAAACTGGATTCATCCACTTTTTTGTTACTAGGGCGGCATGTAATAAAGTTTTTCTGCGGAAAAAATCGCCGTTTTTCCGCGGAGCATTACATAACTTTCTTTCTTCTCTGTAGTGAGAGAGTAATACTGCAATCAAGATAAATATTACTAGAGAATTGTTAGTTAAATATATTGTTAAGAAAACAGGTAAATAGAATCCAAATTAAAATTATAAAATCTTATTAAACACAAGTTTCTATCAGCCCTATAAATAGTTTTCAAATATAATATTAGATCCACTAATAACTTACAACATACAGATTATATTTGGTTTCTTTTTAATGAAATTTATTTACAATAAAAATATCTACTTAATTACTACAACTATTCATTCATATTTTTGCATTTTAGTATTCATTTATCTATATTGTTTAACAGTTTTCATTATTGTTAATTTACATTGACAGTAAAAAATTGATTTAAATTATTACTTTATAATTGTAAAATAATTATAAGTTTATTCATAAAAGTATTTCGGAATTAAATGCAATTATATCATATTATTTTTTTCTACAAAATACACTATCCTAATGAACATCTGTTTAGAAAGTAACATTGGTAATTATTATTTTTCTGTTTCAAACATACTATTTTCTGAAATTTTTCAATTTTTAAATTTTTTTTACTGTAAGGCCCCTAAGCAACTGCTTATTTTGGTTGTCAGTAAATCTGGCCTTGCACAATATACAAATATTAAATGAAACCAAATAATAGAAACACTGGTAATTGAAGCATGTGTTTCACCTACACTAACTGCACCCTACACAGGATGTATAAGAAACTTCACCCCCTTTGTTTGCTTCGGTTTGTCATCTTTGTGATGGTAAGAGGAATGCTTAAGCTTCAAGTAAATTGCACACTACCAGGTCAAAGAAATGGCATACTAACAACTAAAAATGGAAAACAGTAAATCAAAGAGATAATTGAACGGGTGAGTACAAGAATGGTAACATTCTGAAAATAACAAGAAGAATATTGAGATATAAATTTGGTTGTTTGAACGTACTGTTGATCAGATAAACAGAAATATTTAATGTCTTCGTGCATCACAAACTTTAAATGAGTTTTAGAGAGACAACATTCCTGGAGCGCTACTGCCCTGACACATGCAGGCCAGATATTTCTGATCTCTGCCACAAAAAAGAATAAAGAAACAAGAAGTGAAAATTTTAACATTAATAAATACACACACTTAGTTTACAGTAGCAAAATGTCAAGGAATGTGTTAAGGTTTCCATGAATACTGATGACTCCATCAGTGTAATATTTAAACTGATCAAACGGCAACATAATATTGTATGGCTTCCTGAAGACACAAGGAATGTTGGTGGTTATGGTCATGACCACGGTCATAAAAATTGTAATGAGAAAGTGTCAGATGTAAACAACTCCAGGTCATGACAAAAGTAACTTGTATATTTTATATGAACATGACTTTTATGAAAAAGTTTTCTAGCAAACAAAAAGGGAAACAAACTACTGACAGTCAGGGGAATGACTAAAAGCTAGTAAAAGTCAGAAGAA